GGTATGCTGCCATGCATGTGAACACACATATACACATGCATGCACATCACATACACATTTACATGAGGAAAAAAGAAAGAAAACAAAAACAAAAAACAGATTGGTTCATATGTCTCTGCTGCCACATCTCTGCTGATGCACTGTTAATGGTCATACTTTGTTGATAGGTAGTTTGGAAGTCTTAGTCTGACTTCTCAGGCCTTTGCATCTTTTCCAGCTGTGTGTGTGTGTGTGTGTGTGTGTGTGTGTGTGTGTGTAGGCCAGAAGTCAATGTCATGTGTCTTCCTCTGTCACTCTCTATCTTATTTGTTGAGACAGGGTCTCTCACTGAACCTGAACATGGGCTTACTAATTCAGCAAGCTCCAAGGATCCTTTCTTCTCTGCCTCCCCAGTGCTAAAACTATATGTGTCTGTCACCATGCCTTGATTTTTTTTAAAAAATGAGACAGGGTCTCACTGTATACCCTGGCTAGCCTGGAGCTCACTATGTAGACAAGGCTAGCCTCACATTTACGATGATCCCTCTATGTCTCTTGAGTACTGGGATTAAAAGCAGGCACAACCACGCCCAGCTATGCTTGGATGTCTATGTGGGCTCTGGCTATTGAATTAGGTCCTCATGTTTGTGTAGGAAGCACTTGACTATCTGAGCTGTCTCCCTAGTCCTTTTTGTTGTTGAGACAGGCCCTCACTATGTTGCTGGGGCTGGTCTCGAACTCCCACTGAAGCAATCCTCCCAAGACAGCTTCCTGAGTGGACTGTAGGTGCTCACTACCATGCCTACCTACTCTGTTCTCTTAACTTTCCGATCTCCCTTTCACTGTTCCCAGATTTGGGCCTTCTTTGGCTGATCTACCCATTCACCTCCTCCTTACACTGGGCCTTTGGTCAAACCTCCATCTCTCTTTTCCTCTTCTCTCATCAGGCCAACTTCCCGTCCTTCAATATCAGTTCAGATCCCGGTTCCTCCTAGGTTCTTGCTCAGCTCAGGCTGAACTTTAATCCATACAATGAGTACTTCTCTATATGGTTCATTTCATTTTAGTTTTCAGCTTTGAAGACTTTTCAGATGTATGGGCATGCAGTTTTCCTAATGAGGTCATAAGCTCTTTTCATAGCCCTGGAGTCATGCTTGCAAGTGTTCCAATGAATAAACAGAGAAAAGAAAATCATTGTTGGGTGTGGGACTGCTTGCCTGTAGTCCCAGCTACTCAGGAGGCTGAGGCAGGTGGATCACTTGAGCATAGGAGTTCAAGACCAGCACGGGGATCCTGGAATAGTTTTAAAATAAACAAATTAATTAGTTAATTAAGGGTGTGTGTGTGTGTGTGTGTGTGTGTGTGTGTGTGTGAATGCAATGGCATATGTGTGGAGGTCAGAGGACAAGTTTCCAGGTGTCAGTTCTCTCCTTCTACCATGTGGAGCCCAGAGATCTAACTCAGGTCATCAGTCTTGGTGGCAAATGCCTTTACCCAATGAGCCATCTTTCCAGCCCCTCCTGGGATAATTTAATAGAGGACTTGGAAAAAGAGATGTGAGAAGGATGAGCGACATTTCAAAATAGCTAAGTAGAACTGGCAAAATATTACATTTAATTAAGTGCTGGAGGAAATGAACAGTGACACAGTATGAGTTGAGCTGTGGAAAATTCTCACCAACTGGCCTGGTCAGGAGAGGGTTTATAAAGAGGAACCTGAGCTGAGCCTTACAAAAATAAGTGGGATTTAAAAGTACGTGGGGCAGGGTGTGTTGGCACACACCTTTAGTCCCAGCACTGGGGAGGCAGAGGCAGATGGATCTCTGTGAGTTCAAGACCAGCTTGGTCTACATAGTGAGTTCCAGGCCAGCGGGGGCTACAGGGGGCCCTTTTTTTAAAAAAAAAAAAAAAAAAAAAAAAAAAAAAAACAAACCAAACCCAACCAGAACAAAACAAAAAAGGGGCTGCTCTTGCAGAGGATGCAGGTTTCATTCCCAGCACCCACATGATGGTGGCTAACAACAGTCCATAACTTTAGTTCCAGGGGATCCAGTTCCCTTTTCTGTCCTCCAAGGGCATTGCATGCACTTACATACATTGAGGCAAAATAGTCATACACATAAAATAAAAATTTTTTTAAATGAAAATATTTAATTTTGTGTATGTGTGTATGCTTGAGTGTTTGTATGTGTACCACATGCATGCAGGAGCCTGTGGAAAACAGAAAAGGGCTTCTGATCCCCTAGAACTGGAGTTACAGGTGGGTATGAGCAGCTATGTGGTACTGGGAATCAAACCCAGGACCTCTGCAAGAGCAGTAAGTACTCTTAACCTCTGAGCCATCTCTCTAGTCCCAGACCTTTTAAAAAACAAACAGGATTTCATGATATAGACCTGGCCGGCCTGGAGCTTGCTACATATTCCAGGCTGGCTCGAGCTCACAGAGATCCTCATGCCTTCCAAGTGCTAGGATTACAGGCCTTGCTCAATTATTATTATTATTATTATTATTATTATTATTATTATTAATTTATTTATTTACTTAATTTATTTAGGTCTTTTTTTTATTTTTTTTGGTCTTTTTGAGACAGGGTCTCCCTGTAGCCCCACCTGGCCTGGAACTCACTATGTACTGGAACTCACTATGTAGACCAGGCTGGCCTTGAACTCACAAAGATCCTCTGCCTCCTGAGTGCTGGGATGAAAGGCCTGTAACACCACGCCTGACTATGTTTTTTTTAAATGGCAATTCTTTTTGTGCCATGTTTAGTATTTGGAGACTCCCATATATGAGGATATTCTGTTTCCTTTTTCCTCTCTCAAAGGTTTATTGTTCTACTAGTTGTGTTTTGGTCTGTAATCCACTTGGGCATAATTTTTTCTATATTGTAAGGTAGGGCTCAAATTTTATTCTCTTCTTCCTTCCTTTTTTCTTTTTTCTCTTTCTTTTTCCTCTCTTTTTTTTTGGTATTAAGGTTTGAAGCTGGGGCCTTGTACTTGCTAGGCAGGTGCTCTCCCACTGAGCTATGTCCTTAGCCTTCTTTTTACTTAAAAAAAATTGTGTGCATGTGTGTACATGATGATGATGAGAGTGTGTGAGTGGAGGTTTGAGAACTTTGTGTAGCTGATTCTCTCTTTCCCTTCTCTCTTTCCCCTTTGCATGGGTTCCAGGAACTGAGCCCAGGTCACCAGGCTTGTGTGGCAAGCACCTTTATCCACTGCCATATCAGCTGGTCCTGGTTATACTTTTTTATTTTGAGACAGTGTCTCACTACGTTGTTCAAGCTGGTTTTGAATTCATTCTGTAGCCCAAACAGCCTCTGTGTGTGTATGTGTGTGTGTGTGTGTGTGTGTGTGTGTGTGTGTGTATAGGTCACAGCCAAGTGCCTTTTACCCCATGAGCTGTCTCACCAGTCCTCAAAATTCTTTACAGAATGTTCTAGATTTACCAATTCTCATCTCTCTGTTTTTCAGAAATTGACTAAATTACTTCTCTGTGGCACTGAGTTGGTGACAAATATCCAGGTGGCCACAGACATTAGAGAGATCCACAGGAGAATCGAAGAAGAGGAGGTAAAGCGCCAGAGGTGAGGTCCTGCTCTGTGTTCTGGAAGATATGAAGTTTCCTCAATCCTTGGAAAGCCAACTGTCCAATTTAGTCTCATGGATCTTGTTCTTGGTCATTGTGAATCCAGCCTCTTCTTTCTTTCCTATTGTCCCGCCTTCTCCCTCCCTTCCTCAAGTGTGCCAAGGTACGTGTGAGGAGTTGTGGACACACACACACACACACACACACACACACACACACACACACACACGGAAGCGTTTGGGTGTCTCTGCAGAGATCAGAGAAAACCCAGGCTTTGGGGTTGGGCTGTAAAGGACAAGTGGGAGGTTGAGCTGCTGAGGAGCGCGCTTTTCAGGCAGAGGCGTGCACTTGGGAGTGAGTGGCATGAACTACTCAGATGTAGCCGCCAGCCCCAAGAATGACTCAGGCAAGTGCAGCTTGATGGGCTTACCAGGAGTTGCTGACAGAAGGCGGATGACAACAGAAGTCACCAAACCTGAAGTCACCATACCCCGGTCAACCAAACTTCTATTTTATATGGTTCTAAATGTACCGCGGAAGTGATGCAAACCTGGGCTCGGAGCGCCCCCTAGTGTCCCATCTGCAGATGCGACTACAGGCTCGTAGGAAGCAGACAAAACCACACTCTGGGAAACTGATTTTTATGTTATACCTTGTTTTCTTGCTCTTATTTGGGATTCTGCTGGTCTTGGTAAACAGCATCCGACCATAGGCAGGATGGCTTGTTTTGCTGAATCCTAGCACGTAGAACCGTTAAATGCGGTCTTGCTGCATGATGGAGTTGCTATGGCTGGGGTTTGGAGGACTAGTCTCACTGCCGTGAAGATGGATGGGTGTGCATGTGTGTGTGTGAAACTGAATAGATAAACGGAGAAGACACACTTTAAATCGGCCAAATGGCCAGACCCACAGACAACTCAGTGTTACATATAAATGCGGTAACATACTTTTAAAAAGAAAAGAAAAATTGTAATAGGTGCTGTCGTGTGCCCTAGCTTGGATGGTGGGGTGGGGGATGAAAATAGAAAAAGAGAGGGGATCATATAATTTAAGTTGTGGCTTCTGTCATTAAAGGAGTTTGTGCTTTTTAAAATATTTTATTTTATATGTAAGAGTATTTTGTGTGACCTGCATGCAGTGCCCATGGAGGCCAGAAGAAGGCATTGGATCCCCTGAAACTAGAATTATGAATGGTTGTTAACTGTCATGTGGGTTATAGAGTTATGGATGATTATTAGCTGCCATGTGGGTGCTGGGAACCAAACTCATGTCCTCTGGAGGAGAAGCCAGTGTTTTTAACTGCTGAACCATTTCTCCAGTCCTGGAGTTTATGCTCTTGTTTGGTGACAATCATGCAGAAGTATAGTCTGTTAATATTAGGAGGCATTCATGGGTGTGGTCACAGCTTCCATTTTCAGAAGGGCTCTCATCTCAGCTCTGATGCCCTCTTCCTCACTGCATCCATGTGTACTCCATCACAAGGCTTCTTTGGAATTTTGAAAAGGTTCTCCCAGTTCTCTGTTACTGATGGTAGATTTTCCTGGTTTGTGCATTCCATTAGTCTACTGGGGGAGGAGGGGCTGGATACCTGAGGCCATGCTGTTAATTAAGAGAACAAGAATTTGGGGGTTGGAGAGATGGCTCAGTGGTTAAGAACACTCACTGCTCTCCCAGAGGACCTGGGTTCAATTCCCAGCACCCACATGGCAGCTAAAAACCATCCTTAACTCCAGTTCCAGGGGTTCTGACACCCTCTCTGACCTCTGTAGGCTTTGCATGACATGGGCACACTTACACACATGCAGGCAATACACTCATACACATAAAATAAAAATAATAAATCAAATATTAAAAAAGAGAATAAGAATTTAAGAGGCAGGTATGTTGGCTCATGCCTGTTATCCCAGTACTTGTGAGGTTGAGGTAGGAGGATAGCCTTACATTTGAAGTTAGCCTGGGGGAGTACATAGTGAGTTCCAGGCCAGCTTGGACTAAAGCTGAGATGCTCTCAAATTACAAGAATTTAGGTACATGGTAGCCAGCTGCTGGGAGTCATTTTATTAATCCTAACAATAGATGCACACAGGTCACTGAGGTGGGCAGTTTCATCCTCTCCATTGCACAAATGAAGAAAGTGAGGCTTGCAGAGGTTAAGCGATATGTCTTGAGTCTATTTATAGCAAAGTCAGGATCTGAACCTCATCTATGTGTGATAACTGTAGTGGTCTCCATCTCACTCAGAAGTACCTGACCAGTTGACTTGATGTGTGTGTAAGTTTAGCTTTAATGTTGACCTGTATTTTTTAAAGCAAAATTGGAGTTTCTTAAGAAAAGATTTTGTATTAGTTACTTGCCTTGATGCTTTGACAAAACACCTGACAAAACCAGGTTAAAGAAGGATTAGGCCAGGTGTCCTAGTTTGTTTCTCCATTCCTGTGACAAAACACTCTGACCTCTACCAACTTGGGGAGGAAAGAGTTTATTCAGCTTACATCTCCCGGGCCACAGTTCATCAGGGAGCCCAAGGTAGGAACTCAGGGCAGGAACCTGGAAGCAGGAGCTACAGCACAGGCTATGGAGGAACCCTGCTTACTGGCTTGCTCCCCTGGCCCCTGCTCAGCTTGCTTTCTTATGCAACACAGGCCCACCTGCCTAGGGGTGGCACCACCCTCAGTGGGCTGGGCCCTCCCATATCACTCAATAATCAAGAAGATGCCCATCAGACATGGCGACAGGTCAGTCATGTGGAGGAAATTCCCCAATTGAGGCTTCCTCAACCCAGGTGTGTCAAGTTGATAATAAAGCTATCCAGCACATCAGGCATAGTGGTGAAAGCAGAGGCAGGTGGATCTCTGTGAATTTGAGGCCGTCCTGGTCTTAGGGCTACATAGTGAGATTCTGTCTCAAAATAAGCAAACAAAACAAAAACAAGGGGCTGGAGAGATGGCTCAGTGGTTAGGAGCACTAACTGCTTTTGCAGAGGACCTGGGTTCGATTCCCAGCACCCACATGGCAGCTACAAACCATCCTTAACTCCAGTTCCAGGGGGAATCTGAAGGCCTCTTCTGACCTCTGTGGCATTGCACACATAGGTGCATTCACATACATGCAAGCAATACACTCATACACATAAAATAATAAATAAAATATTTTTAAAAAAAACCAAAGAAGGAAGGGTTTATTTTGGCTCACAGTCTGAGGGTGCAGTCTATTATGGTGGGGTAATCATGGTAGCTGGAGTGTGAGGCAGCTGGTCACACTGCACCTACAGTCGCAAAGAAAGAGATGAGGGCTGGTGCTCAGCTCACTTTCTCCTTTTTAGTCAGTCCAGGACTTCAACCCTTGCAATGGTGCTGCCCATATTTAGGATAGGTCTTCTCATCTCATTTAATTTAATCTAGACACTCCCTCATAGACATGCTCAGAGGTTTTCTTTCTATGGTGATTCTAAATCTTATCACGTTGACAATCAAGGTTTAACCATCATATGAGGCTAGAGAGATGGCTCAGTGGGTAAAAGCATTAGATGCTCTTGCAGAGTACCCACGTTTGAGTCTCAGCACCCACATGGTGGCTAACCACATCTAATAACTGCAGTTCCAGAGGATTCAATGCCGCCTTCTTGCCTCTGCAGGCTTTGCACATAGGTGCATTTACATACATGTAGGCAAAACCACTCATACATATAAAATAAAAATAAAACAAAAAGATTAACCATCACAGGTTTCAGTATAGATTTGAGCATAGGCATTAAGAGAGGGAAAGAGAGACATGTAAGAACATGGTAGTCCGTGCTTCAGAAAGGGTCTGTTCTTGTCAAGAGAATACTTGCTGTTGGTATTTTTTCAGCAGGTACTTGATTTAGGTTACTTATGGTCAAGCATTAAGCTGAAAGTAGGGCCTGTGAGATCGCTCAGCTGGTAAAAGTACTTGCTGCCAAGCCTGACAACCTGAGTTTGATTCCTAGGATCCACATGTTGGAAAGAGAGAACTGACTTCTGTAAGTTGTCCTCTGGTCTCTACATGCATATCATGGCATGTGTGTACCCCCAAATAAATAAACAGATAAATTCAAATTTTAACCTAAAAGTAGCTTCCCCCAGTGTTTAGTTTGGCTCTGGGTGAGTGTCCTAGGGAAGCAGCTGGACCACGGACCCTGTTGTGGGCCAGGGGAACCTGTCTGCACCTCTGGAAGGCAGAATCTAGACGCTGACTTGTTTTTATTTGCAGACTTGAGAAGCTGGAGAATGAAGTCAAGACCAGCCAGGACAAATTTGATGAAATCACCATGAAGTGGGAGGAGGGCAGACAGAAGCGGATCCCCCAGGAACTGTGGGAAATGCTCAACAACCAGCAGCTACACTGTGCTGGGCTCATTGAAGACAAGAACAAGCTCATCAATGAACTGCAGCAGGCAAGAGCTGGCTGGCCTCCATCCAGGCCTGGAGGGGTTGGTCTGGGATAGACCTGGGGCCTCGGCCAGTGTCTCCGTCTAGGCCTGGAGGAGTTGGCTGGAAATAGACCTGGGGCCTCAGTTGGCTTTTCCTGCCTTACTGTGTTACCTAGAGTGTGGCAGGTGGCACAATTCAAGCCAGGAATGGTGGTATAAATCTATAATCCCAGCACCTGGGAGGCTGAGGCAGAGGGAGTATAGGTTCAAGGTCAGATGAGACTATTGGAGAGAAACAGATTATAGGAATGTGCCACCTGATTTTTTTATGTTGAGTTGAAGTTCTGTTCATGCATTCGACGTGTTAACACCATTCAGATGGATGGTCTCCAGCTCTGGTCCCTCATTCTCTGTGACTCCCTTTTACTCTATCAGTTGTTTCTTTAGACTTCAGGTTTGTAGCCTGGTGTAGCCCCATTTGACTAGTTTTGATTTTTCTTTCCCTGCAGATCCATTGACCCAGGGTTTTTCTTCTTTCCTCCAGGAGTTTTAGGCTTTATATATGGGTTTCTATTCCATTTGAGTTAATTTTGTGTCTGGTATAGCTGACATTTCATATTTTACATGTGAATATCTGGTTATTCCAATGCTTCTCTCTTTTGTACTTTACATTTTTGGAGATAGTCTCATGTAGCCCAGGTTGGCCTTGAACTCACTATGTAATTGAGAATGACCCTGAACTTCTGATTCTCCTGCCTCTACTTCCCAAGTACCAGGATTACAGGGATACACTAACATGCTCTGTTTATGCGGTGCTGTGACTCAAATCCAGGGCCAACTTCTTGCTAGACAAGCATTTTACTAAACAAGCTGAATCTCTGGCCCCAACATTTCTTTTGTTTTCCTTTCTTTCTTTTCTTTTCTTTCTTTTTTTTTTTTTTTTTTTTTTTTTTTTTTTTTTTTTTTTTTTTTTTTTTTTTTTTTTTTTTTTTTTTTGAGACAGGGTCTTCCTGTAGTTCCAGCTGGACTGGAGCTTGCTATGTAGACCAGGCTGGCCTTGATCTCACAGAGATCTGCCTGCCTTTGCCTCCTGAGTGCTGGGATTAAAGGTGTATGCCATTACACTCAGCCCAATAACATTTCTTTTTATTTATTTATTTATTTATTTATTTATTTATTTATTTATTTAGTTTTTATTGAATTTTTGTGTATTTCACACAGAACATCTCAATCTATCTTCATCATCTTTATATCCCTGTCCCCACTGGCACCCTCCTATAGCCCCCCCACTGGAACCCATATACTCTTTCATCCCTGTTAAGGCCCTCTAGGTCAAGTGAATTTTATGCGTTTGAATGTTAATACCTGCATATGTGTAAGTGCACCAGTATCATGCAGTACCCACGGAGGACAGAAGAGGGCATCAGATCCCCTGGAACTGGAGTTATGGACGGTTGGTAGACACCATGTGAGTGCTGGGATTTGAACCTGTGCCTTCTGCAAGAACAACCAGTGTTCTTAACTGCTGAGCCATCTCTCCAGCCCCTAATAACATTTCTTTAAAGAACTTTCCCCATTAAAAAAAAAAAAGAACTTTCTCTATAGTGTAGACAGTTTGAAAAATCATTTGCCTGGGATGTAGTTCAATGGCAGAGGGATTGCCTAGCATGCACAAGGCTCTGAGTTCAGTCCCCAGCACTAATCAACCAATAATTCCTCTTGACATACATACTTGAGAAAAGCAGTTTCAGCCAGACATAGTGGCTCATACTTATAATCCTAGCACTCAGGAGGCTGAGGCCAGCCTGAGCTGCATAACAAGACCTCGTCTCAAAACTAACTAACTAAATACTAACTAGCTAACTGACTGACTGACTGACTAACTAACTAGCTAACTGACTGACTGACTAACTAACTAACCGTCATTTTACCTTGTTACCGGGCACTCTGTTTTGTTCCATTAGCCCATCTATTTTTTTTCTTTCTTTTCTTTTTTCTTTTTCTGTTTTTGAGGTAGAGTCTCACAGTGCAGTCTAGGCAAGTTTCAAACTGGACATCTTACCTCCCACCTCAGCCTCCTGAGCACTTGGACCATGGGTGTGCAAACCACACCTAGGACCATATTTTTGTCCTTTATAAAATATTTTATTGTTTTTATTTTATGTGTATGAGCCAACATGTGTGTAAGTGCACCCATGTCATGCAATGCCCTCGGAGGTCAGAAGAGGGTGTTGGATCACCTGGAACTGGAGTTACAGATGGTTGTTAGCTGCCATATAGGTGCTGGGAACCAAACCCAGGTCCTCTGCAGGATAGCCAATGCTCTTAACTGCTGAGCCATCTCTCCAGCTGCCCCCACCCCTTTTTAAAGACAGGGTCTTACTGTGTAGCCTTGATGGTCCTGGAACTCACTATGTAGACCAGACTGATCTGGAACTCACTGAGGCTAGGGATATAGGTAATGGTAGAGTGTTTGCCTGGCATGCACTTCCTGCCTGGGTCTCCTGAGCACTGGGGTTAAAGATGTGCACCACCATGCTGCTTTTTTTTTGTTTATTTGTTTGTTTTGTTTTTGAGACAAGGTCTTGCTATGTAGTCCAGGCTGGCTTTGAACCTTGAACTCCTTATGTAATCCAGGCTGACCTCACACTCACAATTTTCTTATCTCAACCTCCTGATTACAGGGATTTCAGGCATGTGCCATTATACCTGACCTCATCCCAGTATTTATAGATTCTGATGAGAGGAGGTCAGAGTGGCTCTGCTTAGACCCTCTTCTGTCTCAGCTTCTGACTGACTCTGACTGTGTCCTTCTCAAGGAGTTAAAAATAAAGGACGACCAGTATGTGAAGGACTTGAAGAAACAGTCAGATGATATCAGCTTGCTTCTGGAGAGGATGGAAGAGCAAGTGAAGAATGTGATGAAGAACTTCCGGCAGGAGCTCTACCACATTGAGGTGAGGGCATGAGAAGAGTCTAGTTTCCACATTCTGGAGGCCCTGGGAGGAGGGCTGCCTCTGTCCCAGAGATCTAAGGAGGGGCGTTGATGTCTCTGTCATCATTATGTGTCTACTATATGCCAGGCACTGCTTCAGGGATAGGGGAGACAGCCATGAAAAAAAAAAAAGCCCCCATTGGAGCTTGTACTCAGGCTAGAATTAAATGTGTGAATTCCTAAGTATAGAATTTAACTGGTGCTAATAAACACTATGAAAGACAGTAAGGTGGGGTGGGTGTGTATAGTCAGTTTCCACGGCTGTGACAAATAACTCAACAAAACAACAGGGAAAACATTTTTGCTCATGGTTTTAGACATTTCAGCTCATCATGAGGGAGAGGGTGTGGTGAGGCAGAGGAGCTCACATCATGGAGGCTGGGAAGCAGAGAGGACTATGCCTGGCCTAAGGGGCTTCCCTCCCTTTCTCATCCAGACCCTCAGCTTATTCTGTTCAGAGTCCCAGCTTCATGTGCCACCCATATTCAGGGCCAGTCTTCCAGTTAATTTCTGGAAATGCCCTCTCAGACACACCAAGAGGTGTGCTTAAATTATCTCCTAGATGCCTCTCAGTTCAACTAAGTTGGCAATCAAGATGAACCACAGAGACTGGGGGAGGTTTGTGTTCCAGAACCACAAGCAAATGGGAACCATTTTTGTATCTATGGCAGTTAGGGTGGGAATGGGGACAGGGAGTGCCAAATAGGATTCAGGAATCTGTACTTCAGATTTGAATGACATATTCAAGACTGAGATTGGGCTTTAGTTCTTCCTAAAGTGGAAGAGACAAGAGGGCCAGCATCTGTCTGGATTGTCACAGACTTCACTCCTGCAATCCCATGCTGCCTTTACTTCATGGGAGTGCAGCCATGGCATTGCTTCATCATAGCCAAGGTTGAAGTACGTGCTAAGGTTTTTCTTGTGACTGCCAACCAGAGCACTTCTCTGCCTCCAGCTCCCTACCGCTGACATTGACTGAACTTTGGGACTTTTGGCACACATCCTCTCTAAATTTCCAAGTAGTGTGCATGTGCTAACTTCCATACAACTCTTTCATTAGCCTTCCATTAATGCTTTCATTGACCACATGAAATTTGGCAAGTGTGTATGTGACTTTATCCATGACTTTGTCTATGTGACTAGGCACTTGTGTGATTACCTAAACATTCTTTGATACTGGTGGGGCCTCCCTAATGGAAGCAGACTCAAGGGCCTTTTCCTGTTTTGGTTGTAGAAAGCCTTTGAGTTGGAACGACAAGAGCTGTTGACTAGCAATAAGAAGAAATGGGAGCATGCGCTGCAGGCTCACAATGCCAAGGAGGTAAAAGGCTGATGGGTGGGGGTGTTCTGGGCAACCTTCGGACTCATGGGTGGTATTGGCAGTGGCTGAGCTGTGAGTCTGCTGCACCTTGGGTGGGACTTCTGTGTTCATTTTTTCACTTCATAATCAGGCGTGGTCTTGAAGACAGGGTGTCTCTGATGGATGAGTACCAATTTTGCAGCTTGCTGTGGTTTTTCATGGTCTTGTCATATTGAATTTGTGGCCCAAGAAAGCAATTTTTGGGGACTGGGGAAATGGCTCAGCAGTTAAGAGCACTGGCTGCTCCTGCAGAGGATCCAGATTCAGTTCCCAGCACCCACATGGAAGCTAACAACCATCTGCAATTCCAGTTCCAGGGGATCTGACAACCTCTTTTGACTTCCACAGACATTGCATGACATGGATGCACTTACATACATGCAGGCAATATACTCCTACACATAAAATAAAAATAAATATTTTAAAAAAGTTTTAAAAAGCAATTTTTTTGTCTTCTTTCCTTCCTTCCTTCCTTCCTTCCTTCCTTCCTTCCTTCTTCCTTCTTTCCTTCCTTCCTCCCTTCCTCCTTTCCTTCTTTCCAGTGGGCCCAGCCCACTGTAAGTGGTACCATCCCTGGGCAGGTGGGTCTGAGATGAATAAAAAATAACTGAGCAAGTCAGGGAGCAAGCCAGTAAGCAGCATTCCTCTATGGTCTCTGCTTCAGTTCCTGCCTCCAGGTTCCTGCCTTGAGCTCCTGCCTTGGCTTCCCTTGGTGATGGGCCACAACCTAAAAGCTGAAATAAACCCTTTCCTCCCCAAGCTGGTTTTGATCACTGTTTTATCACAGCAACAAAAAGCAACATTTTATTATTATTATTATTATTATTATTATTGAGATTGGATCTCACTATGCAGCCCTGACTTGCTCGGAGCTTACTATGTAGAGCAGGCTATCTTTGAACAGCAATTTTCCTGCCTCTGCCTCTTGATTACTGACATTACAGAGGTGTGCCACCGCACACAATTTTAAGACTTATCTTAAAAAGGTGATGCATGCCTTTAATTCTAGTACTCAGGAAGCAGAGGCAGATGGATCTCTGTGAGTCTGAGGATACCTTGGTCTACATAGCAAATCCAGGCCAGCAGGTGCTACATAGTGAGACCCTGTCTGAAAAACAAAAACCAAAAGAAACAGTGTGAGAGTATCATATCACTTTATTTCAGAGGTGTATAAAAAAGGAAGCGACTTGACTAAGACCCCTGGTGGGAATTTTTTTTAGAAGTATAAAGGCTAGATTATAGGCTATGTTTAACTTCTTTAAAAAAAAAAAAAAGACCTATTTTAGCCAGGTGTGGTGGTGCATGCCTTTTATCCCAGCACTTGGGAGGCAGAGGAAGGCAGACCTCTGTGAGTTCAAGGCCAACCTAGTCTACATGTGAATACCAGGCCAGCTGGGGCTACAGAAAGACTAAAAAAAAAAAAAAGATCTTTTTTACAGGGGTGGGGGGGTGTATGCTTTTTATCCCAGCACTTGGGAGGCAGAGGAAGGCAGACCTCTGTGAGTTCAAGGCCAACCTAGTCTACATGTGAATACCAGGCCAGCTGGGGCTACAGAAAGACTAAAAAAAAAAAAAAGATCTTTTTTACAGGGGTGGGGGGGTGTATGCTTTTTATCCCAGCACTTGGGAGGCAGAGGAAGGCAGACCTCTGTGAGTTCAAGGCCAACCTAGTCTACATGTGAATACCAGGCCAGCTGGGGCTACAGAAAGACTAAAAAAAAAAAAAAGATCTTTTTTACAGGGGTGGGGGGGTGTATGCTTTTTATCCCAGCACTTGGGAGGCAGAGGAAGGCAGACCTCTGTGAGTTCAAGGCCAACCTAGTCTACATGTGAATACCAGGCCAGCTGGGGCTACAGAAAGACTAAAAAAAAAAAAAAGATCTTTTTTACAGGGGTGGGGGGGTGTATGCTTTTTATCCCAGCACTTGGGAGGCAGAGGAAGGCAGACCTCTGTGAGTTCAAGGCCAACCTAGTCTACATGTGAATACCAGGCCAGCTGGGGCTACAGAAAGACTAAAAAAAAAAAAAAGATCTTTTTTACAGGGGTGGGGGGGTGTATGCTTTTTATCCCAGCACTTGGGAGGCAGAGGAAGGCAGACCTCTGTGAGTTCAAGGCCAACCTAGTCTACATGTGAATACCAGGCCAGCTGGGGCTACAGAAAGACTAAAAAAAAAAAAAAGACCTATTTTAGCCAGGTGTGGTGGTGCATGCCTTTTATCCCAGCACTTGGGAGGCAGAGGAAGGCAGACCTCTGTGAGTTCAAGGCCAGCTTGGTCTACATAGGCCAGAAGAGGGAGACAGATTCCCTGGAACTGGAGTTAAGGATGATAGCTGTCATGTGAGTGCTGGGAACTGAACCTGGATCACCTGCAAGAACAGACAGTGCTCTTAACTGCTGAGCCACCTCTCTAGCCCCCAACTGAACTTCTTGGTTGGAACAATTCTTTGTACTTGTTGGGTAAGGATCCTGCTAAGCATAATAAGTTGAGGTCTGAGAGTTCAAAGCCTTGGAGCTTTAGCCTTTGAATGCTTCCAGACTTCCCTACCCATGAGTCTTCTAAGCCATGCCTGTGTCATGCTTGTCAGGCTAGCTGAAGGACTGAACTCCGTGCGGAGGGTCTCTCATTCCCTTGTCTCCCTGTGCCTGCAGCTGGAGTACCTCATCAACCGCATGAAGAAAGTGGAGGATTATGAGAAACAGCTGAACAAGCAAAGGACCTGGGACTGCGAAGAGTACAACATGATCAAGATCAAGCTGGAGCAGGACGTGCAGGTGCTCTGCTGCTCCCCACCCCGGGGTCTGGGTGGTGGGTGGGTGGCGAGTGCTTCAGAATGTGTCATCTTAGCCACTCCCCATAGTGTCTCAGAGGCATGCATTCACTGCATAGTGATTATCTGCTTTCTTCGGTTTTCTTTCGATAAGGTCTCATATAGCCTGGCTGGTATTGAACTCTCTGTGTAGCCAAGGATGACCTGATACTCCTGCCTCTGCTTCTAAGTGATGGGTTCACAGGTGTGTGCCACCACACCTGGCTTGGATTCCTGCACCTAATTTATTGAAGCATAACTAGTAATTTCTGGCTCTATGTGGAAAATCATGTTAGACTGCAGTTTTTCTAAATAGCCTTGCTATGTCTTTCTTTCTTTCTTTCTTTCTTTCTTTCTTTCTTTCTTTCTTTCTTTCTTTCTTTCTTTCTTTCTTTCTTTCTTTCTTTCTTTCTTTACTATCTATCTATCTATCTATCTATCTATCTATCTATCTATTCTATCATCTATCTATCATCTATCTCTCTCTCTCTTTATATATCTATCTATTCTATCTCTCTCTCTCTCTCTCTCTTTATCTATCTATCTATCTATCTATCTATCTATCTATCTATCTATCTATCTATCATCTATCATCTATCTTATCTAGATCATTTTGAGACAGGGTTTCCCTATAACCCAGCTGTCTTGGAACTCACTGGTAGGCCAGGCTGGCCTCGAACTCTGAGATCCTCCTGTCTCTGCCTCCCAAGTGCTGAGATTAAAGGTGTGTGCCACCATGCCTGACCTATTAATTTGTTTTTTTATGAATACTATGTTTATTTTATCCTGAAATGATTTTTAAAAATTTTTATTGAACTTTTGTACATTTCATACAGCAGTTCTTAATCATATTTAGACACCCTTTCCCATCCATGCCCCTACACCAGTATTCTACCGTTCCCCCCAACATGTATTCTACCGTACATGTTAAGTCCTATCTAGTCAAGTATTTGTACTCAGATGTCCTTCAGTGCAAATTCATCCACTGGAGTCTAGTCAGTCTATCTAGAGATCATAAGTAAGATCTACTCTCCCTCACACAGTAGTAACCAGTTTCTAATAGTTCCCAGACTAGGGCCAGCCCACCACCCATTTTCCTCACTCCACTCTGGGCTCTTGTCTGATTGAGTTGGCATGCGTCCTATGCTTGATGTCACCATTGCCACAAGTTCATGTGTGCAAGCCTCCAGTGGCCTGAAAGCCTTTGCTTCCCTATGTTCATGAACCAACCCTGGCTCTTACAGTCTTTACAACCCCTTTTCTGCAATGGTCCCTAAGCTGTAGGTGGGAGAGGTTTAATATAGAAATCCTATCCAGGGACACACACTCTGCAATCTCTTATTCTTTAAAACTTGGCCAGTTGTGGTCTTCTGTGTGTATCACACTCTGTTGTATAAAGATGTTTTGATGGTGAGAGTTGAGGGATGCACTATTTTTTTCTCTCTATTCTCCATTCCACTGTGATCCATGAGCCTTAGGTGTAGAGGTTCAACTATAGATATGTCACCTAGGACTAGGCATCTCTTATATATTCTCTTTGTCTGAGCAGTTGTGGGATTCTGTAGTAGCCTCCATCTGTTGCAAAAAGGAACTTCTTTGATGAGTGGTGTACTATAAATATAAGGATCTGTATTTAGTGTTAAGGTTCAGATAGCCCTGCCCCCTCACCAACAGAGTCTCATGGACTTCTCAAGCTCCTGAGAAAAGGGAACTGAGCTGATAAGCACCCTGGTCTTTGAAGTCAAGAGAAGCAGACTTCTCCACTGTTGGCCAACACAGCAGGCTTCCCCTTTGATCTCTAAAGAGAACAGATTTTAACAGTCCTGCTCTCCCACTCCCCCCACCATAGCCCACCCAACTTTAAAAAAAATACATCTTTCCAGACCCCAGCTCACAACCCGGGCAGACATTTTCCTTGCCCAGAAGGGAATCTGTCCCCTGTGTTCCTTTGCTAATAAACTCTGCTTTCTCCTGATCAACCCTATTCGTTATACAGCTACTTTTTATCTATCATTTAGCATATGGTAAGAAATTTCCTTTGTCTAGAGAAATTTCATTTGTACAGAGATAGGATTTTCTCTAGGATTTTCATGGCTGACCTCTCCAGCCACATGTATTTGGCTGTGTTTACAGTGCCACACATGAATTCAGCCCTATTGAGAGGGCTTTAAGTCCAATTAGATAGCTGTTGATCACCCCCCAGATAACAGTGCCACTACTGCACCAATAGAGGTAGTTGTCTGTGATGGTTGTTATGGTTACTAGGCTTTAGAGCTGTGTTGGACCATTGATTGATTTTTCTCCCTTAGCAGCTTATAGAGTGTCCTCTAGAACTATGAGAGCTAAACTTCAGGTAGAAGGTTTTCAGGCCAGTTCCTATTCATTGTTCCAAGTCCTTGTCAGAAGTATGTTCTGTCTTTAGCAGTAGGGTCTTATCTTTCAGTTCTGGGAGATAACCAAAAGCTCTGACAGTAGCCTGTGTTATTTTTGGAGTCTCTTGGGCCACTCTGACCAACCACTCGAAGGGAGGTCTCTCTTGTTTGGCACTGTGTTCCTTGCTATACAGCCCCCTGGTATACATATGCACTAATGTCCTGATACCGTATGTGCATTTCTCAGGGGGTTTCAGAGACAACGCATTTCCTTCTGGCTTTCCTAGTCCCCCAAGAGCCATTCATCTTTCTCTTCTCCCCTCTTTCCTCCCAGTTCAAGTGCCCCCATTCTCCCCACCCTCCCCCTAATAACACCTGCCTCCCACCATCCATTCCCCCTCTCCTGAGTTCCCTTCTCCTCACCATGGCCCCCTGCATGTCTCCCCTCCTTCTCTCCCAGCCGAACACTCACCTCCCTCCCAACCTCTGTCCTCTACTATCTTCCTCTTTTGGGTTTTTTCTTTTCCTTCACCTCCGTGTTTTTTTTCCATTTTCCATTTTTCCTGGTTTCTGGTGTTATATCAGGACATATACTCACATATAAGGAATTGGTACTACTGCAAACGAGGGAGAACATACGTTGCTTGTTTATCTGTGTTTGTGTTACTTAATATCATTCTTGTGCATGTGCATGTGTGGAGGTCAGAAGACACCTTTGTGGAGTTGCTTTTCTTCTTCCACCTTTGAATAGGTTCTGAGGATTGAACTCAGGTCATCAGGCTTGCACTCTAGGAACTTTTACCTGCTGAACTATCTTGCTGCCTTATTCTCATTAGGTTTTTTTGTGTGTGTTTTTTTGAGACAGGGTCTTGGAATGTAGTCCAGGCTGGCCTTGGACTTGCAAATCTTTTCTTCTCAGCTTCCTGAGTGCTGGGATTTTAGGTGTGTGCCATCATGCTTGACTCTTTCTTTAATTTAACTTTGTATCCAAGAGCTAGACTAGGGGCTGGAGAGGGCTCAATGGTTAAGAATGTTTACTGTGGGAGGCAGATGCAGGTGGATCTTTGTGAGTTCAAGGCTAGCCTGGTCCACATAGTAAGTTCCAGGCCAGCTGGGGCTACAGGGCGACCCTTTCCCAAAAAGACAAAAAAAAAAAAAAAAAAAAAAAAAAAAAAAAGCTTACTTGCTTACTGCTCACTGCTCACTGCTCTTCCAGAGGACTGGAGCTGTTCCTACTCCTAGCACCTATGTTAGGTTGCTCACAACCACCTGTAACTTCAGCTCCAAGGGATTTGATGCCCTTTTCTGGCCTGGAAAACACACACACACACACACACACACACACACACACACACACTTACTATGACAAACAAGCAAACAAACAACTATATAAGAACAAGAGGACAGCACTATTGTGGGCTAGGCACGAGATGATTTTACTGAAAATGATTATTGTTAGGCTTTCTGAACTTCTCTTTCATTTTTTTGTTTTTTATTTTGGTCTTTTTGAGACAGTGTCTCCCTATAGCCCCAGCTGGCCTGGCACTCACTGTGTAGACCAGGCTGGCCTCAATCTCACAGAGATTCCCCCTGCCTCTGCCTCCTGAGTGCTGGGACTAAAGGCATGCACCACAATGTCTGGTTTCTGAACTTCTAATTCTATAATGTGGAAAAAGTTTATGCTGTTGGTCTTAAACAGGGATATATATATATATATATATATATATATATAATTTCCTTATGATGCTATTAACTCAGTGAAATTTGACTCAATACATGAATGTAAAAAATTCTGGAAAAGAGGGAGATGGTGAAGGGGGTGGGGCATTCATTGAGGCAGAAGGTCTGGGACACCTGACTGCTCCTGTTGAGATGGACTGAGGTGGAGTGTGGGTATGTGGATTCAGGCAGATATAGACACTCAGAGTGGGAAAGGAGTTTGAATCTGTGGTGCCACAGTTCTTCGCAGGGTGAGGAGGAAACAGAGGACACACAAGGTTTTTGAATTTAAATTAAATTAAATTTATTATTGTGCATGTGTATGATGTAGTGTGCACCGTGGCACAGTGAAAGACAGCTTTCGAGTCAGTTCTCTCTTCCACTGTGGTTTCTGAGGATTAAACACACACACACACACACACACACACACACACACACACACACACACGGAAAATCTGGCCCAGGTCTATCTTTATAATACATTTTAAAAGGACAAAGAATGCATTCTTTTAAGTACTTACTGCCAGTTAAGGCCATGTATAGTGACTGGAGTTAGAGAAACCTGTAGCCATTATGTTATGCATATGAGAGGGATTTGCTGGCCCTCTGCTATCACCATCCCAAAATAAAGCTGCTGGAAAGAGTTTGGTATAGTTGTTTTTAAATTTTTATTTAGTTTTTAGACAGCCTAGCTCAGGCTGACCTGGGACCCATGTGACTCTGGTTGGCTTATAATTCCCAATCTTTCTGCATCAGCCTGTCCTTTGCTTTCTGTTGCCAAGATAAACATCATGGCCAAAAGTGACTCACTCAGAGGAGAAAGGGGTTTATTTTGGTTGTGGTTCCAAAGGGATAGAGGTTACCATGGTGGGGA